GCATATTCTGTTCTCAAAGTATCAAATTGAAATTGTGTTGCTTCACCATAAACGATCTCCTTTCTATAACATTTTTTAGGACCTGCCAAATAAAGTGACTTATCGTTGTTATCACTACATTGAAGGTTAAACATATTATAGAATTTTTCTTTTTCTTTCGCATCTCTTTCTGCAAGTACTGGTGAACTCGTAATGATATCTACTTTCTTGCCTTTTAAAGCATGAATTACTGCTAATACACTTATAATCGTTGATTTACCTTCACCAGTTCCTATTTGTAGTAATCTTCCTTTATCAACATTTGCATTTAAAGAAATTAAACAACTTAAAATCTGAGCATCGGTTAGATGAAATTTAGTATGTAAGAAATTCGCTTGCTTTATAACTGCTAGAGCTTCAATAGTAAAATCATTTATCTTAGTCCAGTAATCGACATTCTCTTTTACTATATGTGCCCACTGTCGTATTTGTTCTTCTGTCCATTGAGCGATGTAAATTGACTGATCTTTGATAGTATTGTCTAATACTCGAGAAATTAAATCAGAACTTTTGATTTTTTCTATGATCTCCAGCAAATGTATCCTCATGAAATTTTTCAAATCTTCATCATTAGAATTGATATTTCCTAATTCTTCTATTAATCCTGCTGCACTTCTTATTTCACGTATTTTGGAAAAATTACTTTCAACTGTAAGTCTATTGACTTCTCGCAACCATTTCTCAGGTGGTTTGTTTAGAGCTAATAAAACTTTTTCTTGATTTTCTGGCGTAGGAGAAATTTTATATTGCGACAATATTTCTAAAACATACAGAAAATTTTCTTCTTTTACTCTTTTCTCTACGTTATCAGAGATTTTAAGTTTACTAAAAATTTCATTTAATTGTTCAAAATTCCAATTTTTACCTAATAAATTATCAATATTAAGAGCTAATTTCAAACGATCAGTTTTAACTATTTTCTTGCCTAAGAATTTTATTTCTAAAGATCTCTTTAATATTGAAATTGTTGTTTCTTTAACATAGATATCAGATATTTCGATATTGTTTTCTTGAGCAAAATTCAAAATATTTTCAAATTCTCTTAAACTATCGATATTTTCTAAGGCATCAAAAAGTTTATAACTAATGTTTAAGCCAAATTTAGATATCATATTCGATGCTAGATCATCAATATATTTACTATTGATGTCTTCTTTTTTCGATAAGCGTTGATCGAGCAATTTTGTTAGACATCTTTTCTGTAAATCTAGACAAGGATTCCGACTATTTGATAAGATTTCATATGCATTTTCAAAATCAATTCTATTTAAAATTTTTATTCCGTCATAAAATTCATTAAACGACATTTTATTATTCAATAGAATACGATGTAATAACTTCAATAATATGTTACTTTTGTCATTCTGAAATTCTTCAAGTTCTTCAATTTCAAGCCAAGTTTTATAAAAATGAAAACGTTCTCCTTCACTTATTTTGAATCTTTCTATTAAATCGAATATTAACAGTTCTCTATTCCACTGATCTTGTGACTTATCACGAATTTTCTCAAAGTCGATATATTTCACTGAAGTGATAGTTTCGAATAAGTCTAAATTAAAGTGAACTTCGGATTTAGTATTTTCTACTAGTTTATCAATAATATTATCACACCATTCTTGAAATTCTAAAGATTGATATTTTCTTTCATAAGCTGCTCTTAATCCTCGAAATGACCAGCTACGAATTATACCTTCATCACTGAAAAGATTAATTTCGAAAGGTTCTAATGTTGAAATTGTTGTAGCTTCAGATGCCAAAGCAAGACATACAAGTATGTCGAAATGATATTTAAAATAGCTACCGTTCTCATCTAAAATATCTATGAAAACGTCTAATACACGAGAAAAATTATTTGTTTGACATTGTGTACGTTTGATAACTTCCTTATATGCATCTAGAATATTTTTATTGATCTTTTTGGATAAAAGAGCTATTTCTAGCCTATCAACAATTGATTGATTTAAACAATAACCAGGATTTTTTATTAATATCTCAACAAAGATATCAAGCAAATTTTGTTCGACGTCTATATTGAAGCTATTTTCTGTATGATTCTTTGGAATTCGAATTGAAAGTAGTTTTTCAATTGTTAGATGAGAAAGTGTTTGATTTTTCTGTAATTCTTGTCGTATATTATTTAAAAATTCATCAAGAATGATGATATCAATACTCATTGTCGATTCTATTTTTGAGAATAGTATTATTTTATCTTTCAATTCTTGTGAAATAGTTTGATTTTTAGAAATTGTTCTCAATATTTCTAATGGTCTTTCGTTTTTATCTTGAACAAAAATAAGTGATATAATATCATCCGTCAGTTTTCTTCCGGCTTCAGTCATTTCATGTATTAATCGACAACATAATGAATTGATCGTTGT